CTGGTAAACTGTTTTAACCGTCACAGGAGCAATGGGTCCAGAACAGTCAGACACTGGTTTGTGGTGACAGGAGTATACAATTCAGCAACAGTAGGCATGGAGTTTTCTCAAAATTTTGCATTCTTGAACAGTTCACTTGTGTTTTCATGTATGTGTCTTTCGAACATTGTAAATTTCAGCCTGGTGGTTTGGCTAGCAAAACACAGTCAAAAAATTACACAGAAAGGATCGACAAGCAACAATCAATCATTAACATTTGATACATTAAACACCCCTTTGTAATTGCAGGTCACGAGTGTGCCCCCTGCTGTGGGTGAGGTCCACTTACGTGCTGAATGAAACCAAAGGTCTCAAAATACAGAGCCGTCCTTTGCTTTCTGTCATTCAACATTTTCTAACATGTACATTAATATCACTGTAATATACTAAACTCTCAAAATCTTGCAAACGAATGAAAGTAGTTCAGTAAAAATGCGTCAATAAAATCGCAACTTGACTGTGGTGGCCTGTACAGGACAATGAAAGAGTAAGAAGATGCTGTTGTTTCCATTTTAAAAGAAATATACCTCAAACGATGAAAAATTTCCAAGGGGCATTTATGGGAGACAAAGTGCTCTCTTAAAACTGCAGCTATGCCTCCCTTTTGTTTCTCGTATTTCGGATCGAATTTAAATGGGTGTGTGTTGCTTATTAGAACTGCTTTTCCTGTATTTTGGTCCAGGCATTTCCTGTATTTTGGTCAGCCATGTTTTCAGACATAAGCTGAATATATGGCTGAAACATGCTGGACCAAAATATACAGGAAAGCTCGGGACCAAAAATAACAGGAAATGCAGTTCAATAGAGCAAACACCACCCATTTTAAATTCGAATCCGAAATACGAGGAAAACAAAAGGGGGGGGGAGGCATAGCTGCGTTGTTTAAGAGCACTTTGTCTCCCTAGAATGCCCCTTGGAAATTTTTTCATCGATTGAGTATATTTCTTTTTAAACTGGAACAACGCAATTCTTCTACTCTTTTCATTGTCCTGTACAGGCCACCACAGTCATGTTGCGCTTTTATTGACATTTGTACTGAACTATTCATTCGTGTGCACAGATTTTGTTATGTTAGTTGATCTACTGGTGATTTGTATTGTACATGTGATAATGTTGTGACAGAAATTGCAAAGGAGCTGGCTCTGTATTGAGACCTTTGGTTTCATTCAGCACGTAAGTGGCCCCACCCACAGCAGGGGGGCACACTCTTGACCTGCTAATTACAAAGGGGTTAAGTATCAATGTTAATGTAGTTTGATGTTGCTTTGTCAGATCAGGTCTGTGTATATTTTGACATGTGTTTTGATAGCAAAACCACAGCTGAATCTACAATTTTCTCGAGAAGACAATACTGGAAAACACAGTGAACTGTTCACTGGGAATGCTAAATTGTGAGGAAAACTCCATGCTCTACGCTGTTGATGAATTGTATCTACTCTGTCACACCTGTGTTCTGACTGTTCTCGGACGCCCATAGCGAACCTCCTGTGACGTTTCAACATTTACCAGTAGAAAAAGAGCGCACCTACCCTGGACTAAGTGCAGACTCGGTCAGGACAGAAGCAAGAGTGCGGAGGGCCGCGAAGGAAGTGGCGAAAGTCCGATTTCCAGGCGATTATGAAATCTTTAAAGATTGAGTGGGTGAATTTAACCGGGTTCTTCGTAGAACAAGGTATTGTATTTTTCTGACATTATTGGTGGTTTGCAGTTACAATTTTGGGTGTTATGTTTTCAACAGTTGGTAGATGAACGAACCCCCCTGTAAAGTTGCCCTAGAATTTTCCACTAAATCTAGGTGTAATGAGGTTCGCACAGTTTTTCGTGACAAAGTACATGGAATCACACAAAAACACTATCACCTCCACAGCAACGTATAACAATGGCAACAGCCAGAGAAGCTTTTTGAGCTAACTCACTTTGCACCTGTGGGATACTGAAACTGTCAAAAAGATAATCATGAGTCTGAGCTCTCCACATGTGCCTGGATATATTGCCCTTCTAAATTTCTGAAGTCCGTCCTGAGCAGTTTGTTACCTTCACTGAAACAAATAGTAAACCTGTCTCTGTCGTCAGGAAACATTTCCTATGGCCTAAAAACAGCAGTCATAAGACCTTCCTAAAAAGAGCAGTCTGGATCTGCGGACTTCAAAATTATCGCCCCATATCGAATCTGCCATTCATTGGAAAATTCGTTGAAAAAGTGGCCTACAACAACTGTACTGAATTTTTTAACAATGAATAATTTTTTGATTTGTTACAGTCTGGGTTTAGACCTCACCACAGCCACTGAGGACCAGCTTAGTGAAAGGGTAACAAACGGGACATTTCGACTTCACACTGATGCAGGTAATGTCACAGTTTTGGTCATGTTTGTTCTTAGGGCCGCGTTCGACACTGTCGACCATGAGAAATTCCTCATGCAGAGACTGGAGGACTGGTTGGTATCACTGGACAGCCCTAGACTGGTTTTTAGGTCTTCTGGGAGGATAGGATCGTACTTTGTGGAGATGGAGGACTGCGTCTCGGATATGTGGCTGACCTGTGGAGTACACAGGGGTCGGATCCGGGACTCTCCTATTTAATTCTCTAATGCTGCCGTTTAGGACAGTTAATACAAGAAAACAAAGTTGTCTACACAATTACGCGACGACACTCAGATCTATGTCTCACTGACTGCAGGAGCACATGGACCACTGGCTTTGCTCCTTCCACTGTATCCAACTAGATCAGTGATGGATGCAAATAATTTCTTCAGCTAAATGCAGACAGACCGAAATCATTGTCTTTGGTCCCAGAATACAAAGAGAGGGCGTCATTTGCAACTTCAGTCTCTCTCCTAACTTCCTTCAGACAAGGTCCGTAAATTTGGGGAGGGGTTAATACTGGACTCAGACTAAAATTCAATAGCCACATAAAATCAATAACAATCAACAGCTTTTTACCCTCTGAATGAACATTGCCAAAAGTTTGAAATATAGTGTCTAAAGCAGACTGGAGATGCCTTGGTCATGCATTTGTCTCCAGCAGGCTAGTCTACTGCAATGGCTGCTTAAGGTCTGTCCAACAGACCTGTAAGCAGCTGCAGTACATCCAAATGCAGCAGCTAGAGTCCTGACAGAACCAGGACAGTATGACCATAATTAGTACGGTTCTCAGGTCTCTGCACGGGCTTCCTGTGGCTCAGAGAATAGATTTTAAACTGCTCTGCTTGTGTACAAAGTCTCTCCATGGCCTTGCACCCAAATACATTAGGCAAGGCAAGAGCAAGCAAGGGCAAAGGCTAGTTTATTATATAGCACAATTATTAACACAAGGCAATTCAATAAGATGGCGGAACAAATCAAGGAAAGCATTAAAATCATAAATAATCACAGAACATTAAAAAGTAAAGTTACAATATAAATTCCCTCAGTTGTATGCACAGCTAAACGAAATGTCTTTACCTTGGTTTTAACATTGTCTGAGAGGAGGCCTGTCTCACATCTCCAGGAAGACTGTTCCAGATTTTATCAGCATGAATCTGAAAAGCAGCTCTCCTCCCCTGTTTAGTTCTGACTCTGGGCACTAACAGGAGTCAGTCCCTGTGCTCCTCTGAGTCCGGGCTAGGTTATAGGGTACTAACATGTCACTAAATATATATATTTTGGTTGCGAGCCATGGAGAGACTTGTACAAAGCAGAGCTGTTTAAAGTCTATTCTCTGAGCCACAGGAGCCAGTGCAGAGACTGAGGACCGATAATATGGTCGTACTTCCTGGTTCTAGCAGGACTCGAGCTGCTGCATTTTGAATGTACTTGCAGTGTTTTACAGGCCTGTTTGAAGACCTGTGAGCAGGCCATTGCGTAGTCTAACATACTGGAGACAAATGCATGGATAGATCTCCAAGTCTGCTCTTAGATCACAGATGTTTTTGATACTGGCAATGTTTTTTAGCTGGTAAAAAGCTGCTGTGTTACTGATTTGATGTGGCTATTAAAATTTAAGTCTGAGGTCCAGTATTATACCCCTAGATTTCTGGACCTTGTTTGAAGGTTTTAGGGATGAGAGGGAATGTCGGTGACAGATGACGCTCTCTCTTTGTTTCTGGGGACCAAGACAATCATTTCAGTTTTGTCTGCGTTAAGCTGAAGGAGTTGTTTTGCATCACTCACTGATCTGTTGGATTACAGTGAAGGATGTGAGTCACTGGTCCATGTTCTCCTGCAGTCTGTGAGACATAGTCTGTAAGTGTCGTCGCAATAGTTATGATAGGAACATAAATTAGATTCTTGGAGCTAATGCTAATGCTAATGCTTTTGTTAAGGGTAATTATAAATGTAGCACAATTCTCAACTTGATGGGAATAGATTTATTGTTTTTTTTGTGTGTATTTACTTTTACACATCATTACACACTGGTTTTATGGTTGTGATTTGGAGCAGTTTGCTAAATGAACATGTTTTGATGCTAAATGAATCTCTAGTACATTACAAAGTCTGGGATCATAGCTTTAAAGAATGTATGCAGCGTGAGGCCTATTGTTCTGTGTTCTGTGGGTTAGATCCATTTCAGACCTGTTTTAGACCAGGTTCAGCCCTGGTTCAGTCCTGGTTCAGTCCTGGTTCAGCCCTGGTTCAGTCCTGGTTCAGTCCTGGTTCAGTCCTGGTTCAGTCCTGGTTCAGCCCTGGGTCAGACCAGGTTCAGTCCTGGTTCAGTCCTGGTTCAGTCCTGGTTCAGTCCTGGGTCAGACCAGGTTCAGTCCTGGTTCAGCCCTGGTTCAGTCCTGGTTCAGCCCTGGGTCAGACCAGGTTCAGTCCTGGTTCAGTCCTGGTTCAGTCCTGGTTCAGTCCAGGTTCAGTCCTGGTTCAGTCCTGGTTCAGTCCTGGTTCAGCCCTAGGTCAGACCAGGGTCAGCCCTGGTCCAGACCTGGTTTCAGGTTCTCTGGTTCTTCTCCTTAACTTTGTTGTACTCCGTTCGAGTGGATGATCCTGACCACGATCATCGCTAACTGCATCGTCCTGGCGCTGGAGCAGCACCTGCCGGACGGAGACAAGACCCCCCTGTCAGAGCGACTGGTAAGTCTCACACAGCAGTCAGAGCGACTGGTAAGTCTCATACAGCAGTCAGAACGACTGGTAAGTCTCACACAGCAGTCAGAGCGACTGGTAAGTCTCATACAGCAGTCAGAGCGACTGGTAAGTCTCACACAGCAGTCAGAACGACTGGTAAGTCTCATACAGCAGTCAGAACGACTGGTAAGTCTCACACAGCAGTCAGAACGACTGGTAAGCCTCACACAGCAGTCAGAACGACTGGTAAGTCTCACACAGCAGTCAGAACGACTGGTAAGTCTCATACAGCAGTCAGAGCGACTGGTAAGTCTCACACAGCAGTCAGAACGACTGGTAAGTCTCATTACAGCAGTCAGAACGACTGGTAAGTCTCACACAGCAGTCAGAGCGACTGGTAAGTCTCATACAGCAGTCAGAGCGACTGGTAAGTCTCACACAGCAGTCAGAGCGACTGGTAAGTCTCATACAGCAGTCAGAACGACTGGTAAGATCTCATACAGCAGTCAGAACGACTGGTAAGTCTCACACAGCAGTCAGAGCGACTGGTAAGTCTCATACAGCAGTCAGAGCGACTGGTAAGTCTCACACAGCAGTCAGAGCGACTGGTAAGTCTCACACAGCAGTCAGAACGACTGGTAAGTCTCACACAGCAGTCAGAGCGACTGGTAAGTCTCACACAGCAGTCAGAACGACTGGTAAGTCTCATACAGCAGTCAGAACGACTGGTAAGTCTCATACACAGTCAGAACGACTGGTAAGTCTCACACAGCAGTCAGAACGACTGGTAAGTCTCATACAGCAGTCAGAACGACTGGTAAGTCTCACACAGCAGTCAGAGCGACTGGTAAGTCTCACACAGCAGTCAGAGCGACTGGTAAGTCTCATACAGCAGTCAGAACGACTGGTAAGTCTCACACAGCAGTCAGAACGACTGGTAAGTCTCATACAGCAGTCAGAACGACTGGTAAGTCTCACACAGCAGTCAGAAGCGACTGGTAAGTCTCACACAGCAGTCAGAACGACTGGTAAGTCTCACACAGCAGTCAGAACGACTGGTAAGTCTCACACAGCAGTCAGAACGACTGGTAAGTCTCATACAGCAGTCAGAACGACTGGTAAGTCTCATACAGCAGTCAGAACGACTGGGTAAGTCTCATACAGCAGTCAGAGCGACTGGTAAGTCTCACACAGCAGTCAGAACGACTGGTAAGTCTCACACAGCGTCAGAACGACTGGTAAGTCTCATACAGCAGTCAGAACGACTGGTAAGTCTCACACAGCAGTCAGAGCGACTGGTAAGTCTCACACAGCATGTCAGAGCGACTGGTAAGTCTCATACAGCAGTCAGAACGACTGGTAAGTCTCATACAGCAGTCCAGAACGACTGGTAAGTCTCATACAGCTGTCAGAACGACTGGTAAGTCTCACACAGCAGTCAGAACGACTGGTAAGTCTCATACAGCAGTCAGAGCGACTGGTAAGTCTCATACAGCAGTCAGAGCGACTGGTAAGTCTCACACAGCAGTCAGAACGACTGGTAAGTCTCACACAGCAGTCAGAACGACTGGTAAGTCTCACACAGCAGTCAGAACGACTGGTAAGTCTCACACAGCAGTCAGAGCGACTGGTAAGTCTCATACAGCAGTCAGAGCGACTGGTAAGTCTCATACAGCAGTCAGAACGACTGGTAAGTCTCATACAGCAGTCAGAAACGACTGGTAAGTCTCACACAGCAGTCAGAGCGACTGGTAAGTCTCACACAGCAGTCAGAACGACTGGTAAGTCTCATACAGCAGTCAGAACGACTGGTAAGTCTCACACAGCAGTCAGAACGACTGGTAAGTCTCATACAGCAGTCAGAACGACTGGTACTGTCTCATATATCATACAGCAGTCAGAACGACTGGTAAGTCTCACACAGCAGTCAGAACGACTGGTACGCCTCACACAGCAGTCAGAACGACTGGTAAGTCTCACACAGCAGTCAGAACGACTGGTAAGTCTCACACAGCAGTCAGAACGACTGGTAAGCCTCACACAGCAGTCAGAACGACTGGTAAGTCTCACACAGCAGTCAGAGCGACTGGTAAGTCTCATACAGCAGTCAGAGCGACTGGTAAGTCTCATACAGCAGTCAGAACGACTGGTCAGTCTCACACAGCAGTCAGAACGACTGGTAAGTCTCATACAGCAGTCAGAACGACTGGTAAGTCTCATACAGCAGTCAGAACGACTGGTAAGTCTCACACAGCAGTCAGAACGACTGGTAAGTCTCATACAGCAGTCAGAACGACTGGTAAGTCTCATACAGCAGTCAGAACGACTGGTAAGTCTCATGACAGCAGTCAGAAACGACTGGTAAGTCTCACACAGCAGTCAGAACGGACTGGTAAGTCTCATACAGCAGTCAGAACGACTGGTAAGTCTCACACAGCAGTCAGAACGACTGGTAAGTTCTCATACAGCAGTCAGAACGGACTGGTAAGTCTCACACAGCAGTCAGCAATGACTGGGTAAGCCTCACACAGCAGTCAGAACGACTGGTAAGTCTCACACAGCAGTCAGAACGACTGGTAAGTCTCACACAGCAGTCAGAACGACTGGTAAGTCTCACACAGCAGTCAGAACGACTGGTAAGGTCTCACACAGCAGTCAGAACGACTGGTAAGTCTCATACAGCAGTCAGAACGACTGGTAAGTCTCACACAGCAGTCAGAACGACTGGTAAGTCTCATACAGCAGTCAGAACGACTGGTAAGTCTCACACAGCAGTCAGAACATGACTGGTAAGCCTCACACAGCAGTCAGAGCGACTGGTAAGTCTCACACAGCAGTCAGAACGACTGGTAAGTCTCATACAGCAGTCAGAATTGACTGGTAAGCCTCACACAGCAGTCAGAACGACTGGTAAGTCTCACACAGCAGTCAGAACGACTGGTAAGTCTCACACAGCAGTCAGAACGACTGGTAAGTCTCACACAGCAGTCAGAACGACTGGTAAGTCTCATACAGCAGTCAGAACGACTGGTAAGTCTCATACAGCAGTCAGAACGACTGGTAAGTCTCACACAGCAGTCAGAACGACTGGTAAGTCTCACACAGCAGTCAGAACGACTGGTAAGTCTCATACAGCAGTCAGAACGACTGGTAAGTCTCATACAGCAGTCAGAACGACTGGTAAGTCTCATACAGCAGTCAGAGCGACTGGTAAGTCTCACACAGCAGTCAGAATGACTGGTAAGTCTCACACAGCAGTCAGAACGACTGGTAAGTCTCATACAGCAGTCAGAACGACTGGTAAGTCTCATACAGCAGTCAGAACGACTGGTAAGTCTCATACAGCAGTCAGAGCGACTGGTAAGTCTCACACAGCAGTCAGAACGACTGGTAAAGTCTGCCTGGGTCTAAGCACCAGATATAACCACATTCCTCCAGTATCATAAATGTAACTGTTATGATTCATGTAGAGTCAGATCTGTTTCATCTGTTTGAGTCTCTCCAGACTGAAGTCTTTCAGACTTGGTTCAGCCCTGGTCCAGCCTTGGTTCAGCCCTGGTCCAGCCCTAGTCCAGCCTTGGTTTAGCCCTGGTCCAGCCTTGGTCCAGCCCTGGTCCAGTCCTGGTCCAGCCCTGGTTCAGCCCTGGTCCAGTCCTGGTCCAGCCCTGGTTCAGCCCTGGTCCAGTCCTGGTCCAGTCCTGGCTCAGACCTGGTCCAGCCCTAGTCCAGCCTTGGGTTTAGCCCTGGTCCAGCCTTGGTCCAGCCCTGGTTCAGCCCTGGTCCAGTCCTGGTCCAGTCCTGGCTCAGACCTGGTCCCTTGTCCTGCAGGAGGAGACGGAGCCGTACTTCATCGCCATCTTCTGCTTCGAGTCTGGGATAAAGATCTTGGCGTTGGGGTTCGCGCTTCACAAAGGCTCGTATCTGAGGAACGGCTGGAACGTCATGGACTTCGTGGTGGTACTCACGGGGTAAGAACTGATGGTACTACTGCTGCTGGTACTACTACTGCTGCTGCTGCTGCTGCTGCTGCTGCTGCTGCTGCTGCTGGTACTGACCAGAGAGAGAGCAGAGAGAGACCAGAGAGAGACCAGAGAGAGACCAGAGAGAGACCAGAGAGAGACCAGAGAGAGACTAGAGAGAGACCAGATGAGAGACCAGAGAGAGACCAGAGAGAGAGCAGAGAGAGAGACCAGAGAAACCAGAGAGAGACCAGAGAGAGACTAGAGAGAGACCAGAGAGAGACCAGAGAGACCAGAGAGAGACCAGAGAGAGACCAGAGAGAGACCAGAGAGAGACTAGAGAGAGACCAGAGAGAGACCAGAGAGAGACCAGAGAGAGACCAGAGAGAGACCAGAGAGAGACTAGAGAGAGAGCAGAGAGAGACCATGAGAGAGACCAGAGAGAGACCAGAGAGAGACCAGAGAGACCAGAGGGAGACCAGTTTTGTTTTTGACTTGGAACAATGTTGGTTAGCGAATCTCAAAATAGAGGAAATGTCCCAGAGCACACTCTGATCTCTGCAGGGACAGGCTTCCTCCGGTGCAGCTGAGGAGCGTGTGGAGATAAATATGGTCTCCCCCCTCCTCCCCCCCTCCTCACCCCTCCTCCCCCCTCCCTCTGGTGGGGGAGGGGCTGTAACAAGACCAATGTTTTGTCAGGGGAGGACTGAAGCAAACACAGAGAAAAACCGGGGTTGGGATGAACTCTAGCCCAGACACAGGACGATGTGAAAGAGGAAACTATGAGAGGCACGCCTTCAGGTTGGCCCTTTAAAGCTAGGGTACCTGAATTCAAATCTACCTCTAAAGCAGTTCACACATTTTAACTTTCATGTATATTTGGCCTTTGTCACAACTTTAGATCAACTTTCTCTGGCGTCTCTTTCTGGTCTCTCTCTATGGTCTTGTGCTCTCTCCCACTCTCTCTCGTCTCTCCCTCTTTTCTCTCTGGTCCCTCTCTTGACTCTCACTTTGGTCTCTCTATGCCTCTCTCGCTCTCTCCCTCATCTCTCCTTCTGCTCTCTTTGGTTCGTCTCTATTGCTCTCGCTCTCTCTCTCTCTCTCTCTCGGTTTCTCCCTCTGCTTCTTTCTGGTCCCTCTCTCTGGTCTCTATGCTCTCGCTCGCTCTCTCTGCGTTTCTATTTCTGCTCTCTCCGGTCCCTCTCTTGACTCTCTCGTTGGTCTCTCTATGCTCTCTCTCTCTCTCTCTCTCTCTCTCACCACTTTCTCGTCACTCCCTCTGTACCACTCTTGTCCCTCTCTCTGGTCTCTCTCTATGTTCTCTCGCTCTCTCTTTCGTCTCTCTCTCTTGCTCCCTCCCTCTCTCTCTTGTCTCTCCCTCTGCACTCTCTGGTCCCTCTATCTGGTCTTTCTCTCTCTTCTCTCTCTCTCTCTCTGCTCTCTCTCTGGTAGCCATTCTCTTTCCATCTCTCTTTCTATCTCTTTCTATCTCTTGTCTTTCTCTCCTCTCTCTCTCTCTCTTCTCTCTCTCTCTCTCTCTCTCTCTCTCTCTCTCTCTCTCTCTCTCTGGTCTCTCTCTCTCTCTCTCTCCCTCTCTCTCTCTCTCTCTCTCTCTCTCTCTCTCTCTCTCTCTCTCTCTCTCTCTGCTTTGCTTTTATTTTCCTTCCCATAAACAAGCGGCTGTTTGCTCCGGGGCGTAACTCCGTAGTTTCACTAAGTAACGCTGGGTCAACGTGAGGAGTATACAGTTTGGTTAAAGCTGCAGCAGGCGGGCATCAGGCAGACATCAGTCAGACATCAGTCAGACATCAGTCAGACATCAGTCAGGCATCAGGCAGAATCAGTCAGACATCAGTCAGGCATCAGGCAGACATCAGGCAGGCATCAGGCAGACATCAGTCAGACATCAGTCAGGCATCAGGCAGACATCAGTCAGGCATCAGGCAGACATCAGTCAGACATTCAGTCAGACATCAGTCAGACATCAGTCAGGCATCAGGCAGACATCAGTCAGACATCAGTCAGGCATCAGGCAGACATCAGTCAGGCATCAGGCAGACATCAGGCAGACATCAGGCAGACATCAGGCAGGCATCAGGCAGGCATCAGGCAGGCATCAGGCAGACATCAGGCAGACATCAGGCAGACCATCAGGCAGACATCAGGCAGACATCAGTCAGACATCAGGCAGACATCAGGCAGACATCAGTCAGACATCAGGCAGACATCAGGCAGACATCGGCACGGTGGCTGAGTGGATAGCACTCTCGGCCTCTCAGCAAGAAGGTCCTGGGTTCGAATCGCCGGTCGGACCAGGGCCTTTCTGAGTGGAGTTTGCTATGTTTCCCGTGTCTGCGTAGGTTTCCTCCGGGTACTCCGGTTTCCCCTACCACTAAAAATATGTCCAATAGTTCTGGCATGCGCTTCCTGTACTGGCGACCCCGCTCCCATCTCTGTGTGGAGTGAGATACAAATGCCCAAAATTAACAATTGTAAACCGCTTTGAGACTCAGATCTGCAGTGAAAAGGCGGTATATAAATAAAAACTTACTTACTTACTTACATCAGGCAGACATCAGGCAGACATCAGTCAGACATCAGGCAGACATCACAGTCAGACATCAGTCAGACATCAGGCAGACATCAGGCAGACACCAGGCAGACATCAGGCAGACATCAGTCAGACATCAGGCAGACATCAGGCAGACATCAGGCAGGCATCAGGCAGACATCAGTCAGGCATCAGGCAGACATCAGGCAGACCTCAGGCAGACATCAGGCAGACATCAGTCAGGCATCAGGCAGACATCAGGCAGACATCAGGCAGACATCAGTCAGACATCAGGCAGACATCAGTCAGACATCAGGCAGACATCAGGCAGACATCAGGCAGACATCAGGCAGACATCAGGCAGACATCAGTCAGACATCAGGCAGACATCAGGCAGACATCAGTCAGACATCAGGCAGACATCAGGCAGACATCAGGCAGACATCAGGCAGATATCTCCGCCATGGCAGATTGAAAGCAAACGGAACATGAGTTTGTTTGAGCCCAGAGCTTTCCACGATAGACAAGGGCTGGGGCAGAGGGCTGGGGCAGAGGGCTGGGGCAGAGGGCTGGGGCAGAGGGCTGGGGGCAGAGGGCTGGGGGCAGAGGGCAGACGGCTGGGGGCAGAGGGCTGGGGCAGAGGGCTGGGGCAGAGGGTTGGGGCAGAGGACTGGGGGCAGAGGGCTGGGGGCAGAGGGCAGGGGGCAGAGGGCTGGGGCAGAGGGCTGGGGCAGAGGGCTGGGGGCAGAGGGGAGGGGGCAGAGGGCTGGGGGCAGAGGGCTGGGGCAGAGGGCTGGGGGCAGAGGGCTGGGGCAGAGGGCTGGGGGCAGAGGGCTGGGGCAGAGGGCTGGGGCAGACGGCTGGGGCAGAGGGCTGGGGCAGAGGGCTGGGGCAGACGGCTGGGGCAGAGGGCTGGGGCAGAGGGCTGGGGCAGAGGGCTGGGGCAGAGGGCTGGGGCAGAGGGCTGGGGCAGAGGGCTGGGGCAGAGGGCTGGGGGCAGAGGGCTGGGGCAGAGGGCTGGGGCAGAGGGCTGGGGCAGACGGCTGGGGCAGAGGGCTGGGGCAGAGGGCTGGGGGCAGAGGGCTGGGGCAGAGGGCTGGGGCAGAGGGCTGGGGGCAGAGGGCTGGGGGCAGAGGGCTGGGGCAGAGGGCTGGGGCAGAGGGCTGGGGCAGAGGGCTGGGGCAGAGGGCTGGGGCAGAGGGCTGGGGCAGAGGGCTGGGGGCAGAGGGCTGGGGCAGAGGGCTGGGGCAGAGGGCTGGGGCAGAGGGCTGGGGCAGAGGGCTGGGGCAGAGGGCTGGGGCAGAGGGCTGGGGCAGAGGGCTGGGGGCAGAGGGGAGGGGGCAGAGGGCTGGGGGCAGAGGGCTGGGGCAGAGGGCTGGGGCAGAGGGCTGGGGCAGAGAGCTGGGGCAGAGGGCAGGGCTGGGGGCAGAGGGCTGGGGGCAGAGGGCTGGGGCAGAGGGCTGGGGCAGAGGGCAGAGTGCTGGGGGCAGAGGGCAGAGGGCTGGGGCAGGGGCAGAGGGCTGGGGGCAGAGAGGCTGGGGCCAGGGGCGAGGGGCTGGGGGCAGAGGGCAGCTCGGCGGCAGAGGGCAGAGGGCAGAGGGCAGAGGGCTGGGGGGCAGAGGGCTGGGGGCAGAGGGCTGGGGGCAGAGGGCTGGGGCAGAGGGCTGGGGGCAGAGGGCTGGGGGCAGAGGGCTGGGGCAGAGGGCAGAGGGCTGGGGGCAGAGGGCAGAGGGCTGGGGCAGAGGGCAGAGGGCTGGGGGCAGAGGGCTGGGGGCAGAGGGCTGGGGGCAGAGGGCTGGGGGCAGAGGGCTGGGGGCAGAGGGCTGGGGCAGAGGGCTGGGGCAGAGGGCAGAGGGCTGGGGCAGAGGGCAGAGGGCTGGGGGCAGAGGGCTGGGGGCAGAGGGCTGGGGCAGAGGGCTGGGGGCAGAGGGCTGGGGGCAGAGGGCTGGGGCAGAGGGCGGGGCAGAGGGCTGGGGGCAGAGGGGGCAGAGGGCTGGGGGCAGAGGGCTGGGGGCAGAGGGCTGGGGGCAGAGGGCTGGGGCAGAGGGCTGGGGCAGAGGGCTGGGGCAGAGGGCTGGGGGCAGAGGGCTGGGGGCAGAGGGCTGGGGGCAGAGGGCTGGGGCAGAGGGCTGGGGCAGAGGGCAGAGGGCTGGGGCAGAGGGCTGGGGGGCAGAGGGCTGGGGGCAGAGGGCTGGGGCAGAGGGCTGGGGGCAGAGGGCTGGGGGCAGAGGGCTGGGGGCAGAGGGCTGGGGGCAGAGGGCAGGGGCAGAGGGCTGGGGCAGAGGGCAGAGGGCTGGGGGCAGAGGGCTGGGGGCAGAGGGCTGGGGGCAGAGGGCTGGGGCAGAGGGCTGGGGGCAGAGGGCTGGGGGCAGAGGGCTGGGGCAGAGGGCAGAGGGCTGGGGGCAGAGGGCTAGGGGCAGAGGGCTGGGGGCAGAGGGCTGGGGCAGAGGGCAGAGGGCTGGGGGCAGAGGGCTGGGGGCAGAGGGCTGGGGGCAGAGGGCTGGGGGCAGAGGGCTGGGGCAGAGGGCAGAGGGCTGGGGCAGAGGGCAGAGGGCTGGGGCAGAGGGCTGGGGGCAGAGGGCTGGGGCAGAGGGCAGAGGGCTGGGGGCAGAGGGCTGGGGGCAGAGGGCTGGGGGCAGAGGGCTGGGGCAGAGGGCTGGGGCAGAGGGCTGGGGCAGAGGGCACCTTTAGCTCCTCTACCACACACACACACACACACACACACACAGAGACCCACACAGACACACACACACACACACACACACACAGAGACCCACACAGACACACACAGAGACACACACAGACAGACACACACACACACAGACACTCACACACACAGACAGACACAGACACACACACACAGACAGACAGACACACACACAGACACGCACACACACACACCCACACACAGATAAACACACACAGACAGACACACACACAGACAGACACACACAGACACACACACACACAGACACACACAGACACACACACAGACACACACACACACACTAGGCAAGGCAAGGCAAGTTTATTTATATAGCACAATTCATACGCAAGGCAACTCAAAGTGCTGAACAAAATAAGAAAGCATTAAAATCCTAAATAATCACAGAACATTAAAAAGAAAGATAAAAATAAATCCCTCAGTTGTAGCACAGCTAAACAGAACTGTCTTTAACCTGGTTTTAAACATTGTCAGAGAGGAGGCCTGTCTCACATCTTCAGGAAGACTGTTCCAGATTTTAGCAGCATGAATCTGAAAAGCAGCCTCCCCATGTTTAGTTCTGACTCTGGGCACTAACAGGAGTCCAGTCCCTGTGCTCCTCAGAGTCCCAGCAGGAGTCCAGTCCCTGTGCTCCTCAGAGTCCCAGCAGGAGTCCAGTCCCTGTGCTCCTCAGAGTCCCAGCAGGAGTCCAGTCCCTGTGCTCCTCAGAGTCCCAGCAGGAGTCCAGTCCCTGTGCTCCTCAGAGTCCCAGCAGGAGTCCAGTCCCTGTGCTCCTCAGAGTCCCAGCAGGAGGCCAGTCCCTGTGCTCCTCAGAGTCCCAGCAGGAGGCCTGTCCCTGTGCTCCTCAGAGTCCGGGCTGGTTCATATGGGACTAACATGTCACTAATATATTTTGGTGCGAGGCCATGGAGAGACTTGTAACAAGCAGAGCTGTTTTAAAAGTCTATTCTCTGAGCCACAGGAAGCCAGTGCAGAGACCTGAGGACTGGACTAATGTGGTCGTACTTCCTGGTTCTAGTCAGGACTAATGTGGTCGTACTTCCTGGTTCTAGTCTGGACTAATGTGGTCGTACTTCCTGGTTCTAGTCTGGACTAATGTGGTCGTACTTCCTGGTTCTAGTCAGGACTCGAGCTGCTGCATTTTGAATGTACTGCAGCTGTTTTACAGCCTGTTTGGACAGACCTGTGAGCAGGCCATTGCAGTAGTCTAACCTACTGGAGACAAATGCATGGATAAGAATCTCCAGGTCTGCTTTAGACACTATGTTTTTGATCCTGGCAATGTTTTTTAGATGGTAAAAAGCTGCTGATGTTACTGATTTGATGTGGCTATTAAAATTTAAGTCTGAGTCCAGTATTACCCCTAGATTTCTGACCTTGTTTGAAGGTTTTAGGGAGAGAGACTGTAGGTGACAGATGACGCTCTCTCTTTGTTTCTGGGGACCAAAGACAATCATTTCAGTTTTGTCTGCGTTTAGCTGAAGGAAGTTGTTTTGCATCCACTCACTGATCTGTTGGATACAGTGAAGGAGTGAGTCCACTGGTCCATGTTCTCCTGCAGTCAGTGAGACATAGATCTGAGTGTCGTCTGCATAGTTATGATAGGACACTTTGTTTCTGCGTATTAACTGACCTAACGGCAGCATGTAGAGATTAAACAGAAGAGGTCCCAGGATCGACCCCTGTGGGACTCCACAGGTCAGGGCCATATGATCTGAGACACAGTTTCCAATCTCCACAAAGTACTTCCTGTCTTCAAGGTAAGACCTAAACCAACTTAGGGCGGAGCCAGCGACGCCAACCCAGTCCTCTAATCTCTGTAAGAGGATCTCATGGTCGACGGTGTCAAAGGCAGCACTTAGATCTAACAAGATTAAGATTGAGACTTTGCCTGCGTCAGTGTTCAGCCGGATATCGTTTGTAACCTTAACGAGAGCAGTCTCAGTGCTGTGGTGGGGTCTAAAGCCGGACTGAAACATATCAAATGAGTTGTTGATTATAAGAAATCTAGTAAGCTGTAGGTAGACAACTTTCTCAAGGACTTTCCCCATAAATGGCAGATTTGAGATGGGACGATAGTTGTTAAGTACCGTAGCATCCAGACTGCTCTTTTTTAGCAGGGGCCTGATGACTGCAGTTTTCAGGGCCTTTGGGAATATTCCAGAATGAAGGGACATGTTTACTATCTGTGTGAGTGAAGGTAACAGACTGCTCAGAACAGACTTTAGAAATCTAGTGGGTAGTACATCCAGGCTACATGTGGAGGAGCTCAAACTGGAGATTATCTCTTGGACAGTTTGATCATTTACAGGTGCAAAGTGAGTTAGCTCAGAGAGCCTTTCTGGCTGTTGGATGGGTATCTGTGGATTGGAGACAATGACATTTTTGATGCCTTGAACCTTGTCATTGAAAAAATGTGCAAACTCATTGCATTTACGTTTGGAAGTAAGCTCTAATGGCATCTGAACAGGGGGTTTGTTAATCTATTAACTGTTGAAAACAGAACACGCAGATTGTTACTGCTGCCTTCAATCATTTCAGAAAAATACTTTTCTCTTGTACTACGTAGCACCGGGTTAAACTTGCACAACTTATCCTTGAAGATCTCGTAATCAACCTGGAGGTTGGACTTGCGCCACTTCCGCTCGGCCCTCCGGCACTTTCTATTTTGTGCCCTGACCGAGTCTGCTTTAGCCCACGGCGCCTTCTGCTTATTTTCCACTATTTTAACCTTCACAGGAGCGATGGTATCCAGAACATTCAAAACACTAGAGGTGACAGAGTTAAACAGTTCATCTACAGTAGAACATGATGCATTCTCAAAGTTTATCATTCCCATAAATAGTTCACTCGTATTTTCATTTATGCGCCTTCTTCGAACAGTTGCAGAGTCCACTGGTGGTTTGTTAGTGAAACACATGTCAAAAAAAACACAGAAATGATCCGAAAGAGCAACATCGACCACGTTTACATTTGAAATAATCACCCCCTTTGTAACTAACAGGTCTAGAGTGTGCCCTCTGCTGTGGGTGGGGCCACTTACGTGCTGAGTGAGATCAAAGGATTCAAGTACAGAACTCAGCTCTTTTGCATTTCTGTCATCAACATTATCCACATGAATATTAAAATCACCTGTAATAACCAAACTATCAAAATCTGTGCATACAACTGAAAGCAACTCGGTAAAATGATCAATAAAACTGTGACATGACTGCGGTGGCTTGTATAGGACAACGAAGAGTATTGGAGGAGATTGTTTTTGTTGTATTTTAAAAGACACATATTCAAATGACGAAAACTTCCCAAGAGACATTCTATGGGAGACAAAGTGGTCTCTGAAAATGGCAGCTAAGCCTCCTCCTTTTTTGTTTTCCCGTATTTCAGATTCAAACTTGAAATTTGGTGGTGATGCTTCTATTAAAACTGCATTTCCTGAATTTTGGTCAAGCCAAGTTTCAGCCATGAACATAAGATCAAGATTATAAGAACAAATAAAATTATTGATTAAAAAAGACTTGTTACAAAGAGATCTGACATTAAGCATAGCAAGTTTCAAAGTTTCAGTATCAGCGGTTGCGGTCGGCTGATTCTTACACGGAACAAGAATTAGATTTTCCAGATTAGACTGATTAACTCCAGATGTTTTTCTGTAATGTATTCTTTGTGTTATCACTAAGGGAATGGCACAGGTGGCTTCATGACAGGGCCCCAGCCGGGTCTCTCCTCTAACTAGACTGCCAGTGGCTGCGAAGCAGAGACCCTGTGCATCCTAGTGTTTAGAGATAAGAGGGGTAGGGGAAGGCGGGGGAGGAGGATGGAGAGGTGGGTGGTTTTTGGGAGTTGAACGAGGGGGGCAGGGAGGTGGAGGGGTTTTTGGTGATGGGTTAGGGCCGGGGTGGGCTGAGGCAGAGGTTTTGGGTGTTGAACGAGGGGGAAGTGGGGGTGGAATGGTCATGAGGTTAGGGGAGGGACTGGCTGAGGTGGTTTTTGTAGGTGAATTGGAAACCCTAGGTGGTTTTGGAGGTACATATGGGGAGTGGTTTAGCATGTTGGACAGGACCCTAGATCTAGCTAATATGGGTGTGAGAGGAATAGTGTTCATCGCCAATTTTATTAGCCCTGCAGAGTGTTCAGGTAGGTCTAACAGTGAAGGCGGGGATGAAAAAGAAAGCCAGAGAGCACATGGATGATACAGCAGAGGATTGGGAGAATGTCATGTGGTCAGATGAAACCAAAGTAGAACTGTTTGGTAAAAAGCCAAGTATTTAAAATGTGGATTCTGATAATAATGATCTGATTAATGAGAAAAAAGAGCCACTTGGCTGTAACTATGAGTTTTCATGTGGAGAAATGACAAAAGATCAGTCTGGGAGTTTTTCTCTTGTATTGTGATGTAATGTTTCAATAGTCACAGAGGTATTACGGAAAAAAAAAAAATCTTGCTGTGACTAGTAATACATTATTCATGTAAGCAAATTGTAATGTTTTCCATTACTGACGTATTTAAGGATAAAATGTAAAGTGTCGTTTGACGTGAGAAAAACTTTTACCACTGATTAAGACCATGTCACGATAAAAACGAGGGAAATGCTTGAAGCATACAGCACTCAGCCCCTCCCTCTTTCTGTCTCTCTCTCTCTCTCTCTCTCTCTCTCTCTCTCTGGTGAAGACAGAGCTATTACCAAATATATTTTTTTTTTTGTAGAAAATTACATTTATACACACAATAATGTTACTGACATGGAGTCATATGATCACAGAACTTTGAGTTAGATTATAAAGAGGCATTATTTTGTTTTTATCTCCAAGGCATCTGGACAAGTTTTTTTCCCTACATTTTGGTGATATAAAAGTTAGAATGATTTTAGAGAACATTATACTTTTGGAACAATAGGGCTTAGGATAGCAGTTGAATGCAGAATTCGGTTTTCAGAATCTAATGTTTAAAATGTTAATATTAATTATTTCATAGGTTTATTTAGATTTGTAATTAATCATTGGTTTTGTATGGTAATTAACACACTTGTTTGTGCTTCTTGTTTGTCTGTTTTTCCTGAGAAAACTTCTGTCTGTTTCATTGGCCAAAACCCTGCCACAAGACCTCAATCGAGCGCCATCTGCACGGACCATCAGCGTCTCCCCCGATCCGCAGGGGGCAGCATCGGCTGCAGCAGCTAACAGGAACTCTCGAAGAAGACTCCTCCAGCCCCCATTGCTAACAGCATGGCAAAGATAAGACCGCAGACTTTTTCACAAACTGAGTGGTGACCCATCCACGGAACAGAAGGTGGCGGTAATGCGGAAAAATTGGCCGCCAACCGCCGGAAAACCTAACAAGAAGAAGAAGGACATGACACATTTGTGTGCGTCAAAATTGAGACAAAGAAGACATGAAAGAAAAAGACATTATGAGAAAAAGTTATCGGAAGAAAAAAGAAAGATTGATTGAAAGAAGAAGAAAAAAGAAAGATTGATTGAAAGAAGAAGAAGAAAGAAAGTGATTGTTGAAAGAAGAAGAAAAAAGACACTGAGACAAAGACATTGGACACTTTGAGATAAAAGACATTGAAAGACGCCATGAGTAAAAGAAAGAGACATTTAACGGACGTTTGAGGAGGACGTGGCTGGGCAAAATGAAACAGACAGAAGGTAATATACAGACGGGCAACAAAACGCACAGAGACATATAGGACATTTAGGTCATATTTACACATTTAGGTCATTCGTTCATAACACTACATTTAACTGCATGAATGATTACAAGCCATTCGTCAAAATTATTAGACTCTTACTCTAGAATGAGACACAAGGAGATTAGAACAGCAGTATATTTAAGGTAGAGGAGCTTTATTATAACTATTATTGTTATTTAAAGTTATAGTCGCGGAGAAGTTTAGAATTATTGATTTTGACTGCATGATCTTGGTAATACGGATATTTAACGCAATTTTTTCCAACCTCTGAACCGTGGCTTGTTAATCATTTAAGAACAACCACATGCACAGTTGAAACTGGTGCTAGAAAGAGAACTGCAGCTTTTAATGGACGCTGCATTTAGTACAAAATGGTTTGTTCAGACAATAAAAAAAAGAGTCTGAAAAGTAATATAGAGTATTTCTAAATCTTGGCTAAAGGTGATATTGGATCATCTCTGATGACACACTAACGCACCACGGTCCATTGGTTGAAAACACGGATGTAGGGACATTTTATGAAATCTTTTATGACATGTTTCTCTTCCAAATAGCTAAATTAGAAACAATTAGGACAATTATGTCTTTGATACAACTGTTGACAGTTCATCTGAGACATGATTGGTGCAAGTACGACAACACACATAGAACAATGGTCTTTTCTCCACATGAACGTGAAACAAAGGTGAAGTATTAAAGTTTGAGACTAATTTACATTTTTTATGAATCCGAACTGGCTTTACTGGAAAAAAAGGGAAAAACATTTATAGCACGTGCACGACTTTTAAAGTAACAACGAGAGCTCATTAAAAATATAGGGGACACAATCTGTGGGAAGCCCGAGCGAAGACCACGTGGTAAACATTAAAGTTTGAAATGGATCCTTTTAAGAAAAATCTCTTAAAGCTCTGCATGTTCTGCAGGCTCTGAAAGTTGCAACAATAAAATAACTCATGAGACAATTGTAATTGGACATGGAAAAATATAACAAAGTTAAAATTACAGGCCTCCTGTGTTGTTATATGTTTGTGTGTGTTATATGTTTGTGTGTGTTATATGTTTGTGTATGTTATATGTTTGTGCGTCATGTCAAGTACACTACGTTGACCTTAACAAACTCTGGACCAATATACTAACGTGGTGAGTCGGCCTGTGTGAGTGTGATGTGAGTGTGTTGTGAGTGTGTTGTGAGTGTGTTGTGAGTGTGTTGTGAGTGTGATGTGAAATGAGGAGTGAACGAGGAGTGCTGAACGGAGAATGGAATAACAAATGTTTTCTGTAATGTTTTAATGTGATCATGGAATAATTATTTTCTGTCAACAGCATACGGTGTAAGTACTAGAGATTCAAAGATAACAAGCTTTATTGAACAGGTGTAAAAGTGAGAGTACTCTGGGATGAGTACTCTGAGAAAGTACTCTGCGGAAAGTACTCTGAGATGAATACCTTGCTGAAGGTACTGGGAGTCCCTCCCTCTGCTGTTTGTCCTGACAGTGATTCGGTCCAACCGCAGTGAGCGGTCATTGGGCGGAGGACAACTTTGGTTTGTAACTCACATTTAGTGGAGTATAAAATTAGAAACATACATTTTGTTAAGTCTGTATTTGGCTACAGCCTCTGCCCTGATGTCACACACCGTCTGTCAATGTCGTTATGTTTTGCCCAATTGGAATGATTGACAGGCTGCACCATGCGAAGAGAGGGAAGTGGGCATTTCTTGTGTTCTAATGTTTCTTTTTCAGATAAATGATAAACTACCCCTGCTTCAGGGATGACAGTAGTATGGATCATGAGAGGAAATGAGCCTCTACTTTGGCACCAAAGCCCACAATACGAATGGAGGACGATCCGGGAGAAACAACTGAAGATAATTGGAACAGTAAATCTACACACACACAGACGCATGTTTTACACTTGGCCCACGACCAACAGAGGGGAGTATGGTAATGTTATTGTCATAGGTGGTCATGGTCCTTAACCTTCTAAATCGTTAGAAAGAAGTGTAAAACATATATTTACAAGACCAAATACATAATAGAAAAGGGCAGCCTAAAAAAGCAAAATGGGAAAATTATTAAGTAATTTTCGGAGTTGCCAAAATAAAATAAAATTCTTTATTTGTCCCATAGGGGGTCATTCTAAATTTAGTGTGGTGCAAATTCAAAAGGAGAAATAATAGCGCTGATAACATCAAACAGATCTACTCTTTAAGATAATAGATCATATAATAATAATAATAGAATAGAATGAAATAGTCTGGAGCTATAATGTCATTGGATTCAAGGAGCTATAGGTTGAAAGGTCGCTAAGAAGAGGTGTCAGAATAAACAATAGTAACAATAGTTAGACTAGTGAATAATCATCCATCCATCCATCCATTTTCTTCCCCTTAATCCATTTCTGGGTCGGGGGGGGGGGTGGCAGTCAGAGCTGCACCCAGTCCACAGAGCACCAGCCCCTCACTGATCCTCCTGCAGGTGGTGAGTCCACCGGAGTGAATAATCAAAATAGTTCTATTGTGGAAATAAGTATCAATAAGGTCAAATTGTTCTAATAACTAAAGTAAAAAAACAAAATTTTAAATCTAAAAATAGCTCAAATATAACATTGCTCTTGACGCAGTCTCTGAGCTGCTCCATTGGAGAACAGGTTAAATGTTATTGTTTATTACAAACAGCTGATGTATTTACACATATTAAGTTTGGGACAACTCTTTAAACAGTTATAAGCAGCGGACAGAAGCCATGAATGTGCTTTTGTTTATTAAATAATTAATTTCATAGCCATATAATCGTAGATAACGTTTTTTTAATCTGTTCTCTTCTTCCCGCTCCCTTTCAGGCAACTTGATTTAGATGTATGTCTTTAATATTGGAGAACGACTGTGTTGTTTTTGGAATTGTCTGAAATACAATACATAAAATAGTGATTTGCAGAACAAGAACCAGCCAATGAAAAATCATCTATTGCCAATGCTATTGCTACAACTAAAACCACAACTGTGACCAAATGCAATAAATGTTAAGTGTTCAGTCTGGCAGACAAAAAGGTTGACTTTTAGTCTGGGAGACTGAGCAACTGTTAAAATGGTTTAAAATAATGAAGTATGAGTATTTCAGCGTTTTAGTAAATGTTAAATAGTAGGAAAAGTAGAATTTGATCATTGTTCATAAACAAACTTCAGCGTAAGAGTTAAAATAGTACCATACAATGTGATCCTTCTGATAGAGCAGCTAAACTGTTAGAATCAGAATTATTTTACAGCCATTGAAAGTGACAGAAGTCACAAATTGGAAATATGCTTTGGCTCAAGCTGCAACCGAGCTTTGGAGTCACAATAGAGTAGAAATAGATAGATGCTTTCAAAAATAGAGATTATTTTTAGCCAGGGCTAATATCAAACGGTAAAAGGACCATTTCCTTCATAATATGTCCAAAAGTATTTACTTCAAAAGTAGATAAAGTTCATTACAGTTCATGCACAGTTTTATTAGATACTTGTCAAATTCACTTGTTTCAAACATAGGTGAATGTTGACAATGCAAGAAGTTCATGAGTGTAGCTTAGATTAATGAGATAGATTAGAACCAACACAGATTTAAAAGCATTTTAATGTATTTGGGTATAGCACAAAAGTAGATATTTGGGTATTTTTGAGAATTTTAAGAGCTGTCGATTTGTCAGCAATAGATTAGAGAATCAAATACCGTTGTAAAGGGACTGACCCCAGAGAAACCTGCTAAAATAGATTAGCTCTTGTACGGATAATACCAATTTGATTAACGATGTACATTTATCCCAAAACTGCCTGAGAGGAGGAAGTGACAGCACTTCCTGGTTCAACAAAATGTATTTGGAAAAATGAGCAAAACCATAGTAGAGAGAGATTTATTAGATAAAAACATATGTTCAAGAATATGGCTCAATAAAAGCAAATATGCAAACATATTTGTAAATAGATTAGAATAGTTTTAGTGCATACATTACAGACGAGGTTGATGAAGAATCAGAATGACACAGCAGTAGTCATCAAAATAGTATTGAAGGAATGGTTAAAATGTGGTTTGTTGTGTGTTGTATTCTTTCTGTATTAACTCTTCACAGATAGAGCCTGAACTAAGCACAAGTATTGATGATAAACGACGATGTGGATGTGACCTATTCTAAGATAGGTCAAAAGAGGGATTGTTGTAGAATTAAAATGTTGTCTACTAATGATTTTGAAAACAGCCCCTCTGAAGAATGTGCACGGGGAAAAGCCCCAAGGACAAGGATTGCAAACAGGAATAAAGAGGGTCAAATGGAGAAACTACAATCAGTCATAGAGATACCAACCTTCAAATCGGGACAAATTATTAACTCCAGATATAAACATTCTTGTCTCTCTCTCTGGCGAGATCAAAGTTCAAACCACCATCTGGCTAATCTCTCTTAAGGCAGACTGGGGATTCACCAACGGCGTTCTGACGCCTCCCAGTGGACACGGGACGCCAGCACACCCGAAATGAACATTCGGGAGACGCCCACAAGTGACGTCATCAGACGTCCTGATAAAACTGTTGGCTTGAGTTCTGGGGGGAAGTGAGCACAGGGCCAGCGAGGGACAGCATAGCATAGTTTTAGGAGCTCTCTTTTGTTTGAATGTTCTGTATCTGATTGTCAAGATAAATTAAATACAGATGTTAAACTTGGAGAATCTTTTGTCATACTTCTGCATCAACTCGAACACGTCAGTCAAAGGGAATTTTTGACATCACTCCCTTTCGATGGCTGCACGCGCTGCGCAGGCTGAGATCTCAGGGCAAAAGAAAGGTTATCCATCAGCACTTTTACTCCGTAAGTGTTCAGATGTGGCCCTTTCCCTTCAAAAAGCTCATGCCTATTCCAGAACAGATTAAAATTCTCAATGAAGGCAAGTCCTCTGCGTGAACATTCGTTGAGTAGGAAAGTATTTAGCTGATACAGACGACTGAATTTCATTTGCTTCCCGTCCACATTTGGTAGTGGGCCACTGATAACGATTGTTGCGTCCATTTTAGCAAGGTCGTCCAATAAGAGAGAGTAATCCCGTTTCAACTTTTCACTTGTGTTGTCATAGACGTCTACTGCCCCCACGTGGATCAACAATCTTTTTACCCCGCCGGTCTCAGACAGAAGCCTCGGAGCCAACCGCCTTATCTCATCCACTTTGGCAGAGTGTACTGAGTGAACCTTGAGATTACGCATGTTTACATTTCTTATCGCCGAATCCCCGATAAAGAGCGACTCAGCTGCATTTGACCTTGACTGAGACTGAGACTGGGACTGAGAGACTACTGCTGATTCATCTTCCAAAAGTGGTGAAAAGCGGTTTCTTGTAATTAAAGATTTTTGCTGTGGCATTATGATACTCTTGTTATCATTAGCTTTGCCTTGTTTGGGCTTGGCACCATATGTGTTCCAACAATTGTCTCTGTTGATTTTGGGAAATGAAATAGCGTCATCATAACTTACGTTCTGTCCATGTGGTCCATTTCCTTTCACTGGTATTGTTGTGTTCAGCCCCAATTCTGATTCAAGCACAAACATTCGGTCTTGAAGAAGTTTTAGCTCCTGTTTGAGTGAAAAACAGCCGTCGCAAAGTTTTGTTCTTTTTTCCCGTCCACTCTCAGGGCCCTGGGACCTGGCTGATGGTCAGGGGCCCCTGGTTCTTCCCCTGTTTGTTGGTGCAGGGGCTGAAGAACGGCAACACAACGTCATCGAACCAATCGTTGAAAGTGTAAATGTGGATCTTTGCATCAACGTTATAGAAGGACACCTGCGGACACACAACACACACACAACTGTATCACAACACATAATTGTATCATTACACACAACTATATCACAACACAGTACACACAACTCTATCATTACACACACAAAACTGTATCACAACACACAAATGCATCTCAACACAACACACAGAACTATATCACAACACACAACTGTATCACAACACACAACTGTATCACAACACACAACTGTATCATTACACACAACTATATCACAACACACAACTATATCACAACACACAACTGTATCACAACACACAACTGTATCACAACACACAGAATTGTATCATTACACACACACACACACACACACACACACACACAACTGTATGACTGCACACATACACACACACACACACACACAGACACAGACACACACACACAGACACATACACAGACACACACACGCACACAGACAGACACAGACACAAACACACACACACACAAGACACAGACACACACACAAACACAGACACACACAGACACAGACACACACACAAACACAGACACACACAGACAAAGACACAGACACACAGACACAGACACATACACAGACACACACACACACACACACAGACAGACACAGACACACACAGACACAGACACAGACACACACACACACACACACACACAGACACAGACACACACACACACACACACACACACACAGACACACACACACACACAGAACCAACTTCTCACTTTTCTGTTTTCAAATGTTTTACTTTCACTTCAGTCTGTTTCTGAACATTATGAATCCACTGCAGATGTTTGATCTATGGAGAGGCAGAAACTACATCTCCCATGATGCACCTGTCCGTTATCGTAGTCCACAAAGACCCCAATCTTCTGCGGGTTCAGGGCCAGGTCCACGTCGGTGCAAGGCTGAGTCCTGAACGTGCAGCTCTTCCTGAACACAGACCAGCAAGACGTCATCTCTCCCTGGTCTCTCTCTGGTCTCTCTCTGGTCTCTCTCTGGTCTCTCTCTCTGGTCTCTCTCTGGTCTCTCTCTGGTCTCTCTCTGGTCTCTCTCTGGTCTCTCTCTGGTCTCTCTCTGGTCTCTCTCTGGTCTCTCTCTGGTCTCTCTCTCTGGTCTCCCTCTCTGGTCTCTCTCTCTCTGGTCTCTTTCTGGTCTCTCTCTCTGGTCTCTTTCTGGTCTCTTTCTGGTCTCTTTCTGGTCTCTCTCTCTGGTCTCTCTCTGGTCTCTCTCTGGTCTCTCTCTCTGGTCTCTCTCTCTGGTCTCTCTCTGGTCTCACTCTCTGGTCTCTCTCCCTGGTCTCTCCCTGGTCTCTCTCTGGTCTCTCTCTAGTCTCTCTCTTTGGTCTCTCTCTTTGGTCTCTCTCTTTGGTCTCTCTCTTTGGTCTCTCTCTGGTCTCTCTCTTTGGTCTCTCTCTGGTCTCTCTCTGGTCTCTCTCTCTGGTCTCTCTCTGGTCTCTCTCTGGTCTCCGTCTGGTCTCGTTCTGGTCTCGTTCTGGTCTCTGCAGAAGAGAGTACCCACTTGTCCCGGAGGCTGAGGAACCAGTATCCGTTTGCTGGTGTGACCTCTAGCTTCCCTTTCCTGTTGATGGTGCGTTTGGCCACGCCCAGGTCCCAGTCCGTCTTTCCCCCGACCTCCACCTGACAACACAACAAAACACACACAACATTAAAACACACACACACACACACGTCAAAACACACACAACATTAAAACACACACACATCAAAACACACACACACACACACATCAAAACACACACACATCAAAACACACACACACACACACACATCAAAACACACACAATTTTAAAACACACATACAACATCAAAACACACACACACACACACATCAAAACACACACACAACATTAAAACACACACACACACATCAAAACACACATACAACATCAAAACACACACACACATATCAAAACACACACACAACATTAAAACACACCCACACACACACATCAAAACACACACAACATTAAAACACACACACATCAAAACACACACACACACACACATCAAAACACACACAACATTAAAACACACATACAACATCAAAACACACACACACACACACACACAACATTAAAACACACACACACACACATCAAAACACACATACAACATCAAAACACACACACACATATCAAAACACACACACAACATTAAAACACACCCACACACACACATACATCTAAATACACACAAAACATCAAAACATACACACAACATTAAAACACACACACAACATTAAAACACACACAATACGCCTCCTCGGCCTGCGCCCCCTGGTGTCCACTTCCTGAACAGCTTTCCAGGAGACTGTTCTGACTGTAGTCCGTCTGTGTGACTGGTTTCTCTGGTGGCCGCACCTGCCCTGAGGCGGCCGGCTCAGTCGCTTCAATACTCTACTCTACTCTACTCTACTATTCTGTACTCTACTCTACTCTACTCTACTATTCTGTACTCTACTCTACTATACTCTACTATTCTGTACTCTACTATACTGTACTCTACTCTACTCTACTCTACTGTACTCTACTATACTCTACTATACTGTACTCTACTATACTATTCTGTACTCTACTCTACTCTACTATACTGTACTCTACTATACTGTACTCTACTATACTATTCTGTACTCTACTCTACTATTCTGTACTCTACTCTACTCTACCATACTCTACTCTACTATTCTGTACTCTACTCTACTCTACTATTCTGTACTCTACTATACTGTACTCTACTCTACTATACTGTACTCTACTCTACTCTACTATACTGTACTCTACTATACTCTACTATACTGTACTCTACTATACTATTCTGTACTCTACTCTACTATACTCTACTATACTGTACTCTACTATACTATTCTGTACTCTACTCTACTATACTCTACTCTACTCTACTGTACTGTACTCTACTATACTATACCATACTATTCTGTACTCTACTCTACTCTACTGTACTCTACTATACTATTCTGTACTATACTATACTGTACTCTACTATACTATTCTGTACTATACTATACTGTACTCTACTATACTATACTATACTATACTATACTGTACTGTACTCTACTATACAATACTATACTATACTATTCTGTACTCTACTATACTGTACTCTACTATACTATACAATACTATACTGTACTATAAGTCGAATCAAAGAAATGAACCTGTGAGAATGTGGAGTATAAGTGTCAGTGTGGTTCCTGTGTTGTCCACATGAGGGCGCCAGAACCATGTGCAGAGAAGAGGACTGCCACCTCAGGGCTTCATGTTGGACATGTTTCTGTTCTTTTCATCACATGGACACTTTACAAGCTAACAGAGCGTGTTGTGGTAAACGTTAGCATTAGCGTCTGTTCACCGTTTAATAAGGCAGGCCCTCATTGGTCCTCGAATCTAGTCCGTTCAGTTCATTGGTTGTTTTATCATTTGCCTCAACTCTCTCCTCGTCTGATTGGATTTGGGCACAGCCTATAATTAGGCCCGAGCCCCGAACAGGGTAAGGGCCGATTGCTTTTACAATGGTGAATGCAAAGGGTGGCGGTGACCCGTCCGTCACTCACCAAAACGTGAAAATGAAGTATCATGTGCCATAGGGCACTGTCCGGTTTCCGAAATGTGCTAAAAATAGCTCAGATGACTGCGCATGCGCGCATGTTTCGGACAAACATTGTGTACGACTCGTTGAGTTCTACTGTGTTCTCCTCATACGCGTGTGTATTTATTTGGGCTAAATCATTGAATCATGGTGACAACAAAACACTGCAGTTATGGTGCTTGTCGGAGCGATTTCAGATACTCTGAAAAGGACTATATGAAAGTAACATTCAACCCGTTCGTTAAACCACAACATCGGACCAGACCAGGACCAGACCAGGACCAGATCAGACCAGGTGGGTGCTTGTGGTCGGCAGAATTTCTTTCATGAAAAGGTTAAAAAGGGCACATGTTTTTTCAAAACACTTCGCTGGACCAACTGTGGAGCCTCCAGATCCAGTCCTAGCTACGTTTAGCTGGGACTGGATCTGGACCGCTGTATCAGGTCCGTCTGAGCTCTTCTGAATGTAGTTAGCACAAACTTTCTCTTTACACCATTTACCCCCATCAATCCATATTAGTATTGTTTGTCCTAATCCAGAAAGTATACAATTCTCACACCTGAAGAAAGATGAGAGGGATTTTTTTCAACTTTGTGTCTGCTTATTATACGGCTTTGTACCAATTGAACACACAAAATAAACGTCATTCACTACTCATGCCGAAAGGTTTATTTAATGAGTGCAAAGAAAATAGTTCCCAAAGGTTTTCCCGTGGCAGGCGAGTAACAGTGAGGATAGTTAACCTAAAAGCGATCGCTTTAGTCGCATTAAAAAAGTATTTTTGTCATGAAAACCTGAACAGTTAATTCTGAAAACCTCCGTGCACTTGTGTTATGAATGTGTATAATGTATTCTCCCATTAACATTTAAATGTGTTGATTGATTGTCATTTGCGTTTACTGAGTGTGGCTAGCTCTGATAGTTTCTCTCAGAGACAGTAGTGGCGTAACCCGTTGTGACCCCATGGATCTGTTATAATATCAGCTGACTGTAGCTAACTAATGATCAAACTAATTACAAAGTGGATAGTGCAAAAACAACTTGATAAATGGAAGTTAATCACAGCAAAACAAACAAAGAAGGCGCTAGCATTGCAATTTAAATGACTAGATAATGTTAGCATAATCCTCACCATTATCTTTTTATCAATTCAAACCGTCTACCAGTTACTGGAAGACCACGACATTCAAGCCAACGTTATAATTGGTCTACACTATGATCCCTGATGGTTTGATGGTGGAATTTTGCCCCTGGTTTATCATTTTCGTCTAAAGTGACAAGTGGTATTTGATTCATTTCGGCAGTGTTTGTCCGAAACATGTGGGCGGGAGTTGACAGGCGGCGGGGGCGTGTCTTAGTGACGTCATTCAGATAGTTCGCTATCGAAACCAATATTGTTTTTGCTCGAGAGACGTCAACAAATTATTCCGCGCGTTGAGCCTTAATTATACCCCCTGAACATGCATGAGAAGTCACACAAAAGTCAGAACCGGCGGAAAATTAACTTTTTTGTTGGTTATTTTTATGGGACTATAAAATGCCGAAACAGCGCCCCCTAAAAAGTCAGTTTACATCGGGCCTATGGGAGAGGGTCCGAGCTCAAGTTACATGGGGTTAATCACATTTAGTTTTTCCAAAATGTTTGAAATTTTGCACATAATTCTGTTTTGACCTCTCAACGACAGCCAAGGTTTATTTTTTACCCTGTTGCCGTGGCGATGACAAACACTCCCCATTCTGTGTCTATGGCAAATGTGCACCTCGCACAAACATCAAACCAGCCTTGGCCGTTTCTCAGATTTGGCTGATAATCGCTCCACATCATCTCAACAAATGTACCATCAATACTACACGGACATGGAATTTTGATCAGTCACATGGTCATCCAATGGAGACTGTATTTATATGGACACATCACAGATTATACATGTGCTCCTGTTTGCACATACAAAGTCTGATACTACACTTGACTCGGTTGTTCTTCTCCTGGGCTTAGGTCACCTGAAGCTGGAAAATATTACTATGGCTCTTTCGCGCCCCCTACAGACTGAGTTTTCACACTGGGAGCCAAAACAACTGGTCATTATGGGTGGGAACCTAAGGGTACCTCACGATACGATACTATACACGATACAAAGTTCACAATAACGGCAATATCACGATAGCGATTTATCACGTTATGACAATTAAAATAAAAAAAAATAAAAATGTTAAGTGAAAAAATACACTTTATTTCATGATAAATGGAAAGGAGATGCGTAATGTAGCCATATATTAAGTATTGATACTAATTTAAAAAAGAAAAAAAAGAAAGAAAAAAAAAAATATATATATATATATTTATATATTAATATATATATATATATATATATATATATATATATATATATATATATTTTTTTTTCCAAATCGATATCGATACTTGGCAAATACATGTCGATAATCGAATTGCGGGAGAAAGTATCGCGATATATCGATATATTGTCACACTCCTACTGGTCATATTCATTACAATTTCACAAACTTTGTTCTATAGAATAAATCATGGTGCGGCGGCTCCACCTCCTTTGCGCGGTGCGGCGAGGACCGTTCAACGCCGCTTGCGGCTTTAATTCATCTTTTGATCAATTTAGTCTTTGTCTCAATACTGGTCTCACTCTGGTCTCACTCTGGTCTCATTCTGGTCTCACTCTGGTCTCACCTCCCAGTAATGTCGTCCAGAGCTGATCTGTTGTTGTCCGAGGACACACACCACTCGATCGAAGCGTTCAGGATTATCAGGAAGCATCTGAGTGCGCTCACCACACCTCACCTACAGACACACACACAGACACACACACACGCACACACACAGACACACACAATATTACAGTGTTTTTTTCCTGTCAATGTATATCCACAAAGCTACTCACTCTACACTTAATACACTACTGTAGCCACAGCCAGGCCCTGCCCTTCCAACAGTGGCCAGCAGAGGGCTGTGTGATATTTAAATAAATATAACTGTGTCAGCAGGGGGCAGCAGCTCATGTACTTGGATCTCAGTGGATTTAAAGCTCAGGCACATGACTTTCAAACCTCACTCTCTCTGGTCTCTCTCTCTGGTCTCTCTCTCTGGTCTCTCTCTCTGGTCTCTCTCTGGTCTCTCTCTCTGGTCTCTCTCTGGTCTCTCTCTCTGGTCTCTCTCTCTGGTCTCTCTCTCTGGTCTCTCTCTCTGGTCTCTCTCTCTGGTCTCTCTAGTCTCTCTCTCTGGTCTCTCTCTCTGGTCTCTCTCTCTGGTCTCTCTCTGGTCTCTCTCTCTGGTCTCTCTCTGGTCTCTCTCTCTGGTCTCTCTCTCTGGTCTCTCTCTGGTCTCTCTGGTCTCTCTCTCTGGTCTCTCTCTGGTCTCTCTCTCTGGTATCTCTCTCTGGTATCTCTCTCTGGTCTCTCTCTCTCTGGTCTCTCTCTCTGGTCTCTCTCTGGTCTCTCTCTGGTCTCTCTCTGGTCTCTCTCTCTGGTCTCTCTCTCTGGTCTCTCTCTGGTCTCTCCCTCTGGTCTCTCTCTGGTCTCTCTCTCTGGTCTCTCTCTCTGGTCTCTCTCTCTGGTCTCTCTCTCTCTGGTCTCTCTCTCTGGTCTTTTTCTGGTCTCTGGTGCTTGACTCACACTCTTGAGGTCCTCAGACAGAAGCAGACGAGGATGAGCTGTGTTTGCGTCCAGAGTGATGTCCACTGTCAAACATCAAAACAGCCAATCAGAAGTCTGCGTTCATGTGACATCACAGCGTTCCAGAGAGCGAAAGTTTCACATAGTGGTGGGGCATGGCTCAAGCATCTGGTATGGTAACTATGGTAACTGTGGTAACTGTGGTAACTGAGGTAACTGTGGTAACTGTGGTAACTATGGTAACTGTGGTAACTGTGGTAGCTGTGGTGACTGTGTAAAGTCAGATTCTAGTTTTTTTTTTAAATCTCTAATTCCTTGAACAAACTAACAATAAAGAAATAATGTCAAAGTCTTCCAACTGGTCTCTCTCTGGTCTCTCTCTCTGGTCTCTCTCTCTGGCCTCTCTCTCTGGCCTCTCTCTCTAGTCTCTCTCTCTGGTCTCTCTCTCTCTGATGTCTCTCTCTGGTCTCTCTCTGGTCTCTCTCTCTGGTCTCTCTCTGGTCTCTCTCTCTGGTCTCTCTCTCTGGTCTCCCTCTGGTCTCTCTCTCTGATGTCTCTCTCTGGTCTCTCTCTCTGGTCTCTCTCTGGTCTCTCTCTCTGGTCTCTCTCTGGCCTCTCTCTCTGGTCTCTCTCTGGTCTCCCTCTGGTCTCTCTCTCTGGTCTCTCTCTCTGGTCTCCCTCTCTGGTCTCTCTCTCTGGTCTCCCTCTCTGGTCTCTCTCTCTCTGATGTCTCTCTCTGGTCTCTCTCTGGTCTCTCTCTCTGGTCTCTCTCTGGTCTCTCTCTCTGGTCTCTCTCTCTGGTCTCCCTCTGGTCTCTCTCTCTGATGTCTCTCTCTGGTCTCTCTCTCTGGTCTCTCTCTGGTCTCTCTCTGGTCTCTCTCTCTGGTCTCTCTCTGGTCTCTCTCTGGTCTCTCTCTCTGGTCTCTCTCTCTGGTCTCTCTCTCTGGTCTCCCTCTGGTCTCTCTCTCTGATGTCTCTCTCTGGTCTCTCTCTGGTCTCTCTCTGGCTCTCTCTCTCTGGTCTCCCTCTGGTCTCTCTCTCTGGTCTCCCTCTGGTCTCCCTCTGGTCTCTCTCTCTGGCCTCTCTCTCTGGCCTCTCTCTCTGGTCTCCCTCTGGTCTCTCTCTCTGGTCTCTCTCTCTGGTCTCTCTCTCTGGTCTCTCTCTCTGGTCTCTCTCTCTGGTCTCCCTCTCTGGTCTCTCTCTCTGGTCTCTCTCTGGCCTCTCTCTCTGGTCTCCCTCTCTGGTCTCTCTCTCTGGTCTCTCTCTCTCTGGTCTCTCTCTCTGGTCTCTCTCTCTGGTCTCTCTCTCTGGTCTCTCTCTCTGGTCTCCCTCTCTGGTCTCTCTCTGTGGCCTCTCTCTCTGGTCTCTCTCTCTGGTCTCTCTCTGGTCTCTCTCTCTGGTCTCTCTCTCTGGTCTCTCTCTCTGGTCTCCCTCTCTGGTCTCTCTCTCTGGTCTCTCTCTGGCCTCTCTCTCTGGTCTCCCTCTCTGGTCTCTCTCTCTGGTCTCTCTCTCTGGTCTCTCTCTCTGGTCTCTCTCTCTGGTCTCTCTCTCTGGTCTCTCTCTCTGGTCTCTCTCTGGTCTCTCTCTGGTCTCTCTCTGGTCTCTCTCTCTGGTCTCTCTCTGGCCTCTCTCTGGCCTCTCTCTCTGGTCTCTCTCTGGTCTCCCTCTGGTCTCTCTCTCTGGTCTCTCTCTGGTCTCTCTCTCTGGCCTCTCTCTCTGGTCTCTCTCTGGTCTCCCTCTGGTCTCCCTCTGGTCTCCCTCTCTGGTCTCTCTCTCTGGTCTCTCTCTCTGGTCTCTCTCTCTCTGGTCTCTCTCTGGCCTCTCTCTGGTCTCCCTCTCTGGTCTCTCTGGTCTCCCTCTCTGGTCTCCCTCTCTGGTCTCCCTCTCTGGTCTCCCTCTCTGGTCTCCCTCTCTGGTCTCCCTCTCTGGTCTCCCTCTCTGGTCTCCCTCTCTGGTCTCTCTCTCTGGTCTCTCTCTGGTCTCTCTCTCTGATGTCTCTCTCTGGTCTCTCTCTGGTCTCTCTCTCTGGTCCCTCTCTGGTCTCTCTCTCTGGTCCCTCTCTGGTCTCCCTCTCTGGTCTCCCTCTCTGGTCTCCCTCTCTGGTCTCCCTCTCTGGTCTCCCTCTCTGGTCTCCCTCTCTGGTCTCCCTCTCTGGTCTCTCTCTTTGGTCTCTCTCTGGTCTCTCTCTCTGATGTCTCTCTCTGGTCTCTCTCTCTGGTCTCCCTCTCTGGTCTCCCTCTCTGGTCTCCCTCTCTGGTCTCCCTCTCTGGTCTCCCTCTCTGGTCTCTCTCTTTGGTCTCTCTCTGGTCTCTCTCTGGCCTCTCTCTGGTCTCTCTGGTCTCCCTCTCTGGTCTCCCTCTCTGGTCTCTCTCTCTGGTCTCTCTCTTTGGTCTCTCTCTGGTCTCTCTCTCTGATGTCTCTCTCTGGTCTCTCTCTCTGGTCTCCCTCTCTGGTCTCCCTCTCTGGTCTCTCTCTCTGGTCTCTCTCTGGTCTCTCTCTCTGGTCTCTCTCTGGCCTCTCTCTCTGGTCTCTCTCTGGTCTCCCTCTGGTCTCTCTCTCTGGTCTCCCTCTCTGGTCTCTCTCTCTGGTCTCTCTCTCTGGTCTCTCTCTGGTCTCTCTCTCTGGTCTCTCTCTCTGGTCTCTCTCTCTGGTCTCTCTCTGGCCTCTCTCTGGCCTCTCTCTGGCCTCTCTCTGGTCTCCCTCTCTGGTCTCCCTCTCTGGTCTCTCTCTCTGGTCTCTCTCTCTGGTCTCTCTCTCTGGTCTCTCTCTCTGGTCTCCCTCTCTGGTCTCTCTCTCTGGTCTCTCTCTCTGGTCTCTCTCTCTGGTCTCTCTCTGGTCTCCCTCTCTGGTCTCCCTCTCTGGTCTCCCTCTCTGGTCTCTCTCTTTGGTCTCTCTCTGGTCTCTCTCTCTGGCCTCTCTCTGGTCTCTCTGGTCTCCCTCTCTGGTCTCCCTCTCTGGTCTATCTCTGGTCTCTCTCTCTGGTCTCTCTCTGGTCTCTCTCTGGTCTCTCTCTCTGGTCTCTCTCTCTCTGGTTTCTCTCTCTCTGGTCTCTCTCTGGTCTCTCTCTCTGGTCTCTCTCTGGTCTCTCTCTCTGGTCTCTCTGTCTCTCTCTGGTCTCTCTCTGGTCTCTCTCTCTCTGGTCTCTCTCTGGTCTCTCTCTCTTTGGTCTCTCTCTGGTCTCTCTCTCTGATGTCTCTCTCTGGTCTCTCTCTCTGGTCTCCCTCTCTGGTCTCTCTCTCTTTGGTCTCTCTCTGGTCTCTCTCTCTGATGTCTCTCTCTGGTCTCTCTCTCTGGTCTCCCTCTCTGGTCTCCCTCTCTGGTCTCTCTCTGGTCTCTCTCTGGTCTCTCTCTGGTCTCCCTCTGATCTCTGGTCTCTCTCTGGTCTCCTTCTGGTCCCTCTCTGGTCTCTCTCTGGTCTCCTTCTGGTCCCTCTCTGGTCTCTCTGGTCTCCCTCTCTGGTCTCCCTCTCTGGTCTCCCTCTCTGGTCTCCCTCTCTGGTCTCCCTCTCTGGTCTCCCTCTCTGGTCTCTCTCTGGTCTCTCTCTGGTCTCTCTCTCTGGTCTCTCTCTGGTCCCTCTCTGGTCTCTCTCTGGTCTCTCTCTGGTCTCTCTCTGGTCTCCCTCTGATCTCTGGTCTCTCTCTGGTCTCCTTCTGGTCCCTCTCTGGTCTCTCTCTGGTCTCCTTCTGGTCCCTCTCTGGTCTCTCTCTGGTCTCTCTCTGGTCTCTCTCTGGTCTCTCTCTCTGGTCTCTCTGGTCTCTCTCTGGTCTCTCTCTGGTCTCTCTCTCTGGTCTCCCTCTCTGGTCTCCCTCTCTGGTCTCTCTCTGGTCTCTCTCTCTGGTCTCTCTCTGGTCTCCCTCTCTGGTCTCTCTCTCTGGTCTCTCTCTCTGGTCTCTCTCTGGTCCCTCTCTGGTCTCTCTCTGGTCTCTCTCTCTCTGGTCTCCCTCTCTGGTCTCTCTCTCTGGTCTCTCTCTGGTCTCCCTCTCTGGTCTCCCTCTCTGGTCTCCCTTTCTGGTCTCCCTCTCTGGTCTCCCTCTCTGGTCTCCCTCTCTGGTCTCTCTCTGGTCTCTCTCTGGTCTCTCTCTGGTCTCTCTCTGGTCTCCCTCTGATCTCTGGTCTCTCTCTCTGGTCTCTCTCTCTGGTCTCTCTCTGGTCTCCCTCTCTGGTCTCTCTCTGGTCTCTCTCTGGTCTCTCTCTGGTCTCTCTCTGGTCTCTCTCTGGTCTCTCTCTGGTCTCTCTCTGGTCCCTCTCTGGTCTCTCTCTGCTCTCTCTCTGGTCTCCCTCTGGTCTCTCTCTGGTCTCTCTCTGGTCTCTCTCTGGTCCCTCTCTGGTCTCTCTCTGGTCTCTCTCTGGTCTCTCTCTGGTCTCTCTCTGGTCTCTCTCTGGTCTCTCTCTGGTCTCTCTCTGGTCTCTGTCTGGTCTCTCTCTGGTCCCTCTCTGGTCCCTCTCTGGTCTCTCTCTGGTCCCTCTCTGGTCCCTCTCTGGTCTCTCTCTGGTCCCTCTCTGGTCTCTCTCTGGTCTCTCTCTGGTCTCTCTCTGGTCTCTCTCTGGTCTCTCTCTCTGATCTCTCTCTGGTCTCCCTCTCTGGTCTCCCTCTCTGGTCTCTCTCTGGTCTCTCTCTCTGGTCTCCCTCTGGTCTCTCTCTGGTCCCTCTCTGGTCCCTCTCTGGTCCCTCTCTGGTCTCTGTCTGGTCCCTCTCTGGTCTCTCTCTGGTCTCTCTCTGGTCTCTCTCTGGTCTCTCTCTGGTCTCTCTCTCTGATCTCTCTCTGGTCTCTCTCTGGTCTCTCTCTGGTCTCTCTCTGGTCCCCTCTCTGGTCTCTCTCTGGTCTCTCTCTGGTCTCCCTCTGATCTCTGGTCTCTCTCTCTGGTCTCTCTCTCTGGTCTCTCTCTGGTCTCCCTCTCTGGTCTCTCTCTGGTCTCTCTCTGGTCTCTCTCTGGTCTCTCTCTGGTCTCCCTCTGATCTCTGGTCTCCCTCTCTGGTCTCTCTCTGGTCCCTCTCTGGTCTCTCTCTGGTCTCTCTCTGGTCTCCCTCTGGTCTCTCTCTGGTCTCTCTCTGGTCTCTCTCTGGTCCCTCTCTGGTCTCTCTCTGGTCTCTCTCTGGTCTCTCTCTGGTCTCTCTCTGGTCTCTCTCTGGTCTCTCTCTGGTCTCTCTCTGGTCTCTCTCTGGTCTCTCTAAGGTCTCTCTCTGGTCTCTGTCTGGTCTCTCTCTGGTCCCTCTCTGGTCCCTCTCTGGTCTCTCTCTGGTCCCTCTCTGGTCCCTCTCTGGTCTCTGTCTGGTCCCTCTCTGGTCTCTCTCTGGTCTCTCTCTGGTCTCTCTCTGGTCTCTCTCTGGTCTCTCTCTCTGATCTCTCTCTGGTCTCCCTCTCTGGTCTCCCTCTCTGGTCTCCCTCTGGTCTCTCTCTGGTCCCTCTCTGGTCCCTCTCTGGTCCCTCTCTGGTCTCTGTCTGGTCTCTCTCTGGTCTCTCTCTGGTCTCTCTCTGGTCTCTCTCTGGTCTCTCTCTCTGATCTCTCTCTGGTCTCTCTCTCTGGTCTCTCTCTCTGGTCTCCCTCTGGTCTCTCTCTGGTCCCTCTCTGGTCCCTCTCTGGTCCCTCTCTGGTCTCTGTCTGGTCCCTCTCTGGTCTCTCTCTGGTCTCTCTCTGGTCTCTCTCTGGTCTCTCTCTGGTCCCTCTCTGGTCCCTCTCTGGTCCCTCTCTGGTCCCTCTCTGGTCCCTCTCTGGTCCCTCTCTGGTCTCTGTCTGGTCCCTCTCTGGTCTCTCTCTGGTCTCTCTCTGGTCTCTCTCTGGTCTCTCTCTGGTCTCTCTCTGGTCTCTCTCTGGTCTCTCTCTGGTCTCTCTCTCTGATCTCTCTCTGGTCTCCCTCTCTGGTCTCCCTCTCTGGTCTCTCTCTGGTCTCTCTCTCTGGTCTCCCTCTGGTCTCTCTCTGGTCTCTCTCTGGTCTCTCTCTGGTCTCTCTCTGGTCTCTCTCTGGTCTCTCTCTCTGATCTCTCTCTGGTCTCCCTCTCTGGTCTCCCTCTCTGGTCTCTCTCTGGTCTCTCTCTCTGGTCTCCCTCTGGTCTCTCTCTGGTCCCTCTCTGGTCCCTCTCTGGTCTCTCTCTGGTCTCTGTCTGGTCCCTCTCTGGTCTCTCTCTGGTCTCTCTCTGGTCTCCCTCTGGTCTCTCTCTGGTCTCTCTCTGGTCTCTCTCTGGTCCCTCTCTGGTCCCTCTCTGGTCTCTCTCTGGTCTCTCTCTGGTCTCTCTCTGGTCTCTCTCTCTGGTCTCCCTCTGGTCTCTCTCTGGTCCCTCTCTGGTCCCTCTCTGGTCCCTCTCTGGTCTCTGTCTGGTCCCTCTCTGGTCTCTCTCTGGTCTCTCTCTGGTCTCTCTCTGGTCTCTCTCTGGTCCCTCTCTGGTCCCTCTCTGGTCCCTCTCTGGTCCCTCTCTGGTCCCTCTCTGGTCTCTGTCTGGTCCCTCTCTGGTCTCTCTCTGGTCTCTCTCTGGTCTCTCTCTGGTCTCTCTCTGGTCTCTCTCTGGTCTCTCTCTGGTCTCTCTCTCTGATCTCTCTCTGGTCTCCCTCTCTGGTCTCCCTCTCTGGTCTCTCTCTGGTCTCTCTCTCTGGTCTCCCTCTGGTCTCTCTCTGGTCTCTCTCTGGTCTCTCTCTGGTCTCTCTCTGGTCTCTCTCTGGTCTCTCTCTCTGATCTCTCTCTGGTCTCCCTCTCTGGTCTCCCTCTCTGGTCTCTCTCTGGTCTCTCTCTCTGGTCTCCCTCTGGTCTCTCTCTGGTCCCTCTCTGGTCCCTCTCTGGTCTCTCTCTGGTCTCTGTCTGGTCCCTCTCTGGTCTCTCTCTGGTCTCTCTCTGGTCTCCCTCTGGTCTCTCTCTGGTCTCTCTCTCTGGTCTCTCTCTGGTCTCTCTCTGGTCTCTCTCTGGTCTCTCTCTCTGATCTCTCTCTGGTCTCCCTCTCTGGTCTCCCTCTCTGGTCTCTCTCTGGTCTCTCTCTCTGGTCTCCCTCTGGTCTCTCTCTGGTCCCTCTCTGGTCCCTCTCTGGTCTCTCTCTGGTCTCTGTCTGGTCCCTCTCTGGTCTCTCTCTGGTCTCTCTCTGGTCTCCCTCTGGTCTCTCTCTGGTCTCTCTCTGGTCTCTCTCTGGTCTCTCTCTGGTCTCTCTCTGGTCTCTCTCTGGTCTCTCTCTGGTCTCTCTCTCTGATCTCTCTCTGGTCTCCCTCTCTGGTCTCCCTCTCTGGTCTCTCTCTGGTCTCTCTCTCTGGTCTCCCTCTGGTCTCTCTCTGGTCCCTCTCTGGTCCCTCTCTGGTCTCTCTCTGGTCTCTGTCTGGTCCCTCTCTGGTCTCTCTCTGGTCTCTCTCTGGTCTCCCTCTGGTCTCTCTCTGGTCTCTCTCTGGTCTCTCTCTGGTCTCTCTCTGGTCTCTCTCTGGTCTCTCTCTGGTCTCTCTCTGGTCTCTCTCTGGTCTCTCTCTGGTCCCTCTCTGGTCTCTCTCTGGTCTCTCTCTGGTCTCCCTCTGATCTCTGGTCTCCTTCTGGTCCCTCTTACCAGCATACTCCTGGACGCCTCTTTCTCCTGAAATGACCAGAAACATGAATGTGATAAAGATCCAGTGAAAGTATCAAAAGTATCCGGATAATGTGGATACTCACGGGGCTGAGCCAGCAGGAGGCCGGACTCTGCTGGTCCTGCACCAGGAACACAGGAACCATCACTGCTAACACCTGTCTCTGATGCTAATGCTAACACCTGTCTCTGATGCTAACACCTGTCTCTGATGCTAACACCTGTCTCTGATGCTAACACCTGTCTCTGATGCTAATGCTAACACTTGTCTCTGATGCTAACACCTGTCTCTGATGCTAACACCTGTCTCTGATGCTAACACCTGTCTCTGATGCTAACACCTGTCTCTGATGCTAACACCTGTCTCTGATGCTAACACCTGTCTCTGATGCTAACACCTGTCTCTGATGCTAACACCTGTCTCTGATGCTAAGTTCTGAGCTACACCTGTCTCTGATGCTAACACCTGTCTCTGATGCTAACACCTGTCTCTGATGCTAACACCTGTCTCTGATGCTAACACCTGTCTCTGATGCTAACACCTGTCTCTATGATGCTAACTGATGCTACACCTGTCTCTGATGCTAACACCTGTCTCTGATGCTAACACCTGTCTCTGATGCTAACACCTGTCTCTGATGCTAACACCTGTCTCTGATGCTAACACCTGTCTCTGATGCTAACACCTGTCTCTGATGCTAACACCTGTCTCTGATGCTAACACCTGTCTCTGATGCTAACACCTGTCTCTGATGCTAACACCTGTCTCTGATGCTAACACCTGTCTCTGATGCTAACACCTGTCTCTGATGCTAACACCTGTCTCTGATGCTAACACCTGTCTCTGATGCTAACACCTGTCTCTGATGCTAACACCTGTCTCTGATGCTAACACCTGTCTCTGATGCTAACACCTGTTCCTGATGCTAACACCTGTCTCTGATGCTAACACCTGTCTCTGATGCTAACACCTGTCTCTGATGCTAACACCTGTCTCTGATGCTAACACCTGTCTCTGATGCTAACACCTGTCTCTGATGCTAACACCTGTCTCTGATGCTAACACCTGTCTCTGATGCTAACACCTGTCTCTGATGCTAACACCTGTCTCTGATGCTAACACCTGTCTCTGATGCTAACACCTGTCTCTGATGCTAACACCTGTCTCTGATGCTAACACCTGTCTCTGATGCTAACACCTGTCTCTGATGCTAACACCTGTCTCTGATGCTAACACCTGTCTCTGATGCTAACACCTGTCTCTGATGCTAACACCTGTCTCTGATGCTAACACCTGTCTCTGATGCTAACACCTGTCTCTGATGCTAACACCTGTCTCTGATGCTAACACTTGTCTCTGATGCTAACACCTGTCTCTGATGCTAACACCTGTCTCTGATGCTAACACCTGTCTCTGATGCTAACACCTGTCTCTGATGCTAACACCTGTCTCTGATGCTAACACCTGTCTCTGATGCTAACACCTGTCTCTGATGCTAACACCTGTCTCTGATGCTAACACCTGTCTCTGATGCTAACACCTGTCTCTGATGCTAACACCTGTCTCTGATGCTAATGCTAACACTTGTCTCTGATGCTAACACTTGTCTCTGATGCTAACACCTGTCTCTGATGCTAACACCTGTCTCTGATGCTAACACCTGTCTCTGATGCTAACACTGTCTCTGATGCTAACACCTGTCTCTGATGCTAACACCTGTCTCTGATGCTCACATGTCTAACACCTGTCTCTGATGCTAACATGCACAACACTGTCTCTGATGCTAACACCTGTCTCTGATGTGCTAACACCTGTCTCTGATGCTAACACCTGTCTCTGATGCTAACACCTGTCTCTGATGCTAACACCTGTCTCTGATGCTAACACCTGTCTCTGATGCTAACACCTGTCTCTGATGCTAACACCTGTCTCTGATGCTAACACCTGTCTGATGCTAACATGTCTCTGATGCTAACACCTGTCTCTGATGCTAACTGTCCTGTCTCTGATGCTAACACCTGTCTCTGATGCTAACACCTGTCTCTGATGCTAACACCTGTCTCTGATGCTAACACCTGTCTCTGATGCTAACACCTGTCTCTGATGCTAACACCTGTCTCTGGCTAACACCTGTCTCTGATGCTAACACCTGTCTCTGATGCTAACACCTGTCTCTGATGCTAACACCTGTCTCTGATGCTAACACCTGTCTCTGATGCTAACACCTGTCTCTGATGCTAACACCTGTCTCTGATGCTAACACCTGTCTCTGATGCTAACACCTGTCTCTGATGCTAACACCTGTCTCTGATGCTAACACCTGTCTCTGATGCTAACACCTGTCTCTGATGCTAACACCTGTCTCTGATGCTAACACCTGTCTCTGATGCTAACACCTGTCTCTGATGCTAACACCTGTCTCTGATGCTAACACCTGTCTCTGATGCTAACACCTGTCTCTGATGCTAACACCTGTCTCTGATGCTAACACCTGTCTCTGATGCTAACACCTGTCTCTGATGCTAACACCTGTCTCTGATGCTAACACCTGTCTCTGATGCTAACACCTGCTAAACACCTGTCTCTGATGCTAACAACACTGATGCTCTCCTGATGCTAAGCACACTGTCTCTGTCTACATGATGCTAACACCTGTCTCTGATGCTAACACCTGTCCTGATGCTAACCTGTCTGCTCTGTTCTGATGCTAACACCTGTCTCTGATGCTAACACCTGTCTCTGATGCTAACACCTGTCTCTGATGCTAACACCTGTCTCTGATGCTAACACCTGTCTCTGATGCTAACACCTGTCTCTGATGCTAACACCTGTCTCTGATGCTAACACCTGTCTCTGATGCTAACACCTGTCTCTGATGCTAACACCTGTTCTGATCTGTCTCTGATGCTAACACCTGTCTCTGATGCTAACACCTGTCTCTGATGCTAACACCTGTCTCTGATGCTAACACCTGTCTCTGATGCTAACACCTGTCTCTGATGCTAACACCTGTCTCTGATGCTAACACCTGTCTCTGATGCTAACACCTGTCTCTGATGCTAACACCTGTCTCTGATGCTAACACCTGTCTCTGATGCTAACACCTGTCTCTGATGCTAACACCTGTCTCTGATGCTAACACCTGTCTCTGATGCTAACACCTGTCTCTGATGCTAACACCTGTCTCTGATGCTAACACCTGTCTCTGATGCAAACACCTGTCTCTGATGCTAACACCTGTCTCTGATGCTAACACCTGTCTCTGATGCTAACACCTGTCTCTGATGCTAACACCTGTCTCTGATGCTAACACCTGTCTCTGATGCTAACACCTGTCTCTGATGCTAACACCTGTCTCTGATGCTAACACCTGTCTCTGATGCTAACACCTGTCTCTGATGCTAACACCTGTCTCTGATGCTAACACCTGTCTCTGATGCTAACACCTGTCTCTGATGCTAACACCTGTCTCTGATGCTAACACCTGTCTCTGATGCTAACACCTGTCTCTGATGCTAACACCTGTCTCTGATGCTACACACCTGTCTCTGATGCTAACACCTGTCTCTGATGCTAACACCTGTCTCTGATGCTAACACCTGTCTCTGATGCTAACACCTGTCTCTGATGCTAACACCTGTCTCTGATGCTAACACCTGTCTCTGATGCTAACACTGTCTCTGAGAACTGCTCTGATGCTAACACCTGTCTCTGATGCTAACACCTGTCTCTGATGCTAACACCTGTCTCTGATGCTAACACCTGTCTCTGATGCTAACACCTGTCTCTGATGCTAACACCTGTCTCGTGATGCTAACACCTGTCTCTGATGCTAACACCTGTCTCTGATGCTAACACTGTCTCTGATGCTAACACCTGTCCTGATGCTAACACCTGTCTCTGATGCTAACACCTGTCTCTGATGCTGATGCTAACACCTGTCTCTGATGCTAACACCTGTCTCTGATGCTAACACCTGTCTCTGATGCTAACACCTGTCTCTGATAAACTGTCTCTGATGCTAACACTGTCTCTGATGCTAACACTGTCTCTGATGCTAACACCTGTCTCTGATGCTAACACCTGTCTCTGATGCTAACACCTGTCTCTGATGCTGATGCTAACACCTGTCTCTGATGCTAACACCTGTCTCTGATGCTAACACCTGTCTCTGATGCTAACACCTGTCTCTGATGCTAACACCTGTCTCTGATGCTAACACCTGTCTCTGATGCTAACACTGTCCTGATGCTAACACCTGTCTCTGATGCTAACACCTGTCTCTGATGCTAACACCTGTCTCTGATGCTAACACCTGTCTCTGATGCTAACACCTGTCTCTGATGCAACACCTGTCTCTGATGCTAACACCTGTCTCTGATGCTAACACCTGTCTCTGATGCTAACACCTGTCTCTGATGCTAACAACCTGTCTCTGATGCTAACACCTGTCTCTGATGCTAACACCTGTCTCTGATGCTAACACCTGTCTCTGATGCTAACACCTGTCTCTGATGCTAACACCTGTCTCTGATGCTAACACTGTCTGTCTCTGATGCTAACACCTGTCTCTGATGCTAACACCTGTCTCTGATGCTAACACCTGTCTCTGATGCTAACACCTGTCTCTGATGCTAACACCTGTCTCTGATGCTAACACCTGTCTCTGATGCTAACACCTGTCTCTGATGCTAACACCTGTCTCTGATGCTAACACCTGTCTCTGATGCTAACACCTGTCTCTCTGATGCTAACACCTGTCTCTGATGCTAACACTGTCTCTGATGCTAACTGTCTCTGATGCTAACACCTGTCTCTGATGCTAACACCTGTCTCTGATGCTAACACCTGTCTCTGATGCTAACACCTGTCTCTGATGCTAACACCTGTCTCTGATGCTAACACCTGTCTCTGATGCTAACACCTGTCTCTGATGCTAACACCTGTCTCTGATGCTAACACCTGTCTCTGATGCTAACACCTGTCTCTGATGCTAACACTGTTCTGTGCACACCTGTCTCTGATGCTAACACCTGTCTCTGATGCTAAACTGTCTCTGATGCTAACACTGTCTCTGATGCAACTGCTGATGCTAACACCTGTCTCTGATGCTAACACCTGTCTCTGATGCTAACACCTGTCTCTGATGCTAACACCTGTCTCTGATGCTAACACCTGTCTCTGATGCTAACACCTGTCTCTGATGCTAACACCTGTTCTGATGATGCTGATGCTAACACCTGTCTCTGATGCTAACACCTGTCTCTGATGCTAACACCTGTCTCTGATGCTAACACCTGTCTCTGATGCTAAACACTGTCTCTGATGCTAACACCTGTCTCTGATGCTAACACCTGTCTCTGATGCTAACACCTGTCTCTGATGCTAACACTGTCTCTGATGCTAACACCTGTCTCTGATGCTAACACCTGTCTCTGATGCTAACACCTGTCTCTGATGCTAACACCTGTCTCTGATGCTAAACACCTGTCCTGATGCTAACACCTGTCTCTGATGCTAACACCTGTCTCTGATGATGCTAACACCTGTCTCTGATGCTAACACCTGTCTCTGATGCTAACACCTGTCTCTGATGCTAACACCTGTCTCTGATGCTAACACCTGTCTCTGATGCTAACACCTGTCTCTGATGCTAACACCTGTCTCTGATGCTAACACCTGTCTCTGATGCTAACACCTGTCTCTGATGCTAACACCTGTCTCTGATGCTGATAACACCTGTCTCTGATGCTAACACCTGTCTCTGATGCTAACACCTGTCTCTGATGCTAACACCTGTCTCTGATGCTAACACCTGTCTCTGTCTCTGATGCTAACACCTGTCTCTGATGCTAACACCTGTCTCTGATGCTAACACCTGTCTCTGATGCTAACACCTGTCTCTGATGCTAACACCTGTCTCTGATGCTAACACCTGTCTCTGATGCTAACACCTGTCTCTGATGCTAACACCTGTCTCTGATGCTAACACCTGTCTCTGATGCTAACACCTGTCTCTGATGCTAACACCTGTCTCTGATGCTAACACCTGTCTCTGATGCTAACACCTGTCTCTGATGCTAACACCTGTCTCTGATGCTAACACCTGTCTCTGATGCTAACACCTGTCTCTGATGCTAACACCTGTCTCTGATGCTAACACCTGTCTCTGATGCTAACACCTGTCTCTGATGCTAACACCTGTCTCTGATGCTAACACCTGTCTCTGATGCTAACACCTGTTCTGTGCTAACACCTGTCTCTGATGCTAACACCTGTCTCTGATGCTAACACCTGTCTCTGATGCTAACACCTGTCTCTGATGCTAACACACCTGCCCTTGATGCTAACACCTGTCTCTGATGCTAACACCTGTCTCTGATGCTAACACCTGTCTCTGATGCTAAACACCTGTCTCTGATGCTAACACCTGTCTCTGATGCTCACGTCTCTGATGCTAACACCTGTCTCTGATGCTAACACCTGTCTCTGATGCTAACACCTGTCTCTGATGCTAACACCTGTCTCTGATGCTAACACCTGTCTCTGATGCTAACACCTGTCCTGTCTCTGATGCTAACACCTGTCTCTGATGCTAACACCTGTCTCTGATGCTAACACCTGTCTCTGATGCTAACACCTGTCTCTGATGCTAACACCTGTCTCTGATGCTAACACCTGTCTCTGATGCTAATAACACCTGTCTCTGATGCTAACACCTGTCTCTGATGCTAACACTGTCTCTGATGCTAACACCTGTCTC